CCAGTACACACCCAGTACACGCCCAGTACACGCCCAGTACACAACTAGTACACGGCCAGTACACACCCAGTACACAGCCAGTACACAGCCAGTACACAGCCAGTACACAGCCAGTACACACCCAGTACACAGCCAGTACACACCCAGTACACGCCCAGTACACGCCCAGTACACGGCCAGTACACACCCAGTACACACCCAGTACACACCCAGTACACGGCCAGTACACAACATGTATGTACAACACAGGCTCTCTGATGGCAGCGTCTGATTGGTCCTCCTCAGGAACCCAGGGGGGCGGGGCTTACCGGACTCGTCGGAGAGTCGTGTTGGAATCCAGTCGTGTGAGTTGAGACCTTCTACCTCCTCATGTCCGACCTTCTGCTGTGTATGTATCCGTTTCTGTCGTCTTCACACAAACAGCTCCGTGTTTTATGTGTCGGTGCCTGAAGGAGAGACTGAACCCAGGGTTCTGATGATTATTGTAGTTTTCATGCAGGTTCTGTGGAGTCGGCCCAGGTTCTGGCTCTGAGGTTCTGCTGCACATCATATGTTATTGACAGCGCGTGCTGTTCGGAGGAGGGAACCTTCATGATGTTGCAGCAGGTTCTTCATAGCTCCAGGTCTTTGTGCTCCAGCTTCTTGGATACTTTGAGACGCGGTACTTTGGGCCGACGGTCCGTTGCTTCCTCTTCTTCATGTTTGTTTGTTGGCCTGGATCTCCGTTTATCCTCAGACACCGGAAGAACTTCCTGTTCCACTCCTCCTCATCCGTCTTGTGTCGCTGCAGATCTTCCAGGTAGCTGCCACCGTGTCGCGTCGCTGCAGATTTCCGTTTCTGCTGGGCAGCCAGAGACGGTGTGACTCTGGTTCTGGGTCGGTACCGTCCTCCATGGTGGTTCTGTAACCCCAGCATCTGCTACAGTTTCCATTCTCTTGCCAGTTCTTATGCTGTGGTTGGAGTTTCTCTCAGTTTTCCTTTGAGCTTCCTTCTTGACGAAGTTGAGCTTCTCTCCGTCTTCAGAGTGTTGGACCAGTCAGTGGTTCTCGTGTTTCTATGGAGGGAGTCTGGAGGGTCAGTTCATCTGGACCAGGCATCCTCCTCCTGAACGTCTTGGTGGAGCAGCTGGTCCACACCTGCTGCTGGTCGGTTGGTGGCGCTGAAGCTCTGCATCACCACCACCTGATCTTCTCTGTCATGATCATGTCCTTCACCCACTCCAAGGTTCTTGGTCTTCGGTCGTGTTGACTTCAAGTTGGTTCAAGTGGTTTCTGTCTGCCGGCCTCCTTTGAAGGTCAGGTCTGAGTCCATTCCGTGGTTGTGAACTTCATGTCCATGCAGATGAGAAGGTTCAGCTGTGGGTCACAGTCCCTGGAGTTGAATCCCTTTCCATGTGTTTGTTTCAGGTTGGTCCTTGTGCTCGGCTGGAGGAGGCGGAGCTTTTCCTTACGGCAGCAGCCTCCCGCTGACATCACATCATCACCATGGTTACAAACACCACGGTTACCCTGGGAGACACACACCTTACCCTACCGCCTACCTGCCGCACCGCTCACACTCCTCAGGTAGCTGCTCATTCAGCATCGCAGAAATACTTCAAAGTATATGTTAAACGTATGACCTAAACTGTGTATATACTCAGTACACACATATATATAAACAACTGTAGTAGTACTAGTAGTAGTACTAGTAGTACTGATGCAGTACACTACGTGTCAGTGTGTTTGTCTGAAGGTGTCCAGGTTCTGTCCGATGGTTGGACCAGCTCTTCTCCTCGTCCCGCCTCCTCCTCATCCTCCACCTCCCTCCCCCTGACCAGCAGCGCTCCTTCCTCACAGGCTCCTCCTCCTCCTCCTCCTCCTCCTCACAGCTCCAGGTGAGGCTCTGCCCACAGCCACAGGTGCTACATCTGCCTGTCTAGAGTGGCGGCTCCATGTTAAACTGTCTCTATGTGTTTTCAGTCAGTATCCCTGTCTGTGGACGGTTGGCTGCAGTGAGCTAAGCCCCTCCCACTCACCATGCGCCGCTCTCCATGGACCAATCAGCAGTGAGAGCCTCATGCAGCCCCCCAGTCACGGGCGAGTGGGCGGTGCTGGGTGGCCACCTGGTCCCACCCACTCTTTCTGAGGAGTGATGTGATTGGCTGAGATGAACTGACTACACACTGGGACGCTATTGGTTGCCAGCAGTAACCAGCGGTAACTGCTGGTGACCCATGTTAACCAGTGGTAATGGCCAGTAACTAGTGTAGTTATTGGTAACTGCTGGTAACCAGTGTTAACCCGTGGTAATGGCTGTTAGCCAGTGGTAACCAGTGGTAATTGCTGCTAACCCGTGTTAACCAGTGGTAATGGCTGGTAACCAGTGTTAACCTTTGGTAACCTGTGTTAACTAGTGGGGCTGTTGATGCATATTTGTACATACCGGCAGCTAGTAGTGAGTGTTTGTGACTCTTTGTAAAGACCTGTGTATCTGCAAACGAATAGCTACTTGTATCTAACTGTAAATACTGGTGGCTACTAATATGTACTGGTAGTTACTAATATCTACTGGTGGCTACTAACAGCTACTGTTAGCTACTCATACCTACTGTTGGCTACTTCTGGTTACTAATATCTAGCAGTGGCTACCAATAGCTACCGTTGGCTACTAATGTCTACTGGTAGTTACTAATATCCACTAGTAGAACAGCTCGAGGCCACTTGGCCGTTGGTACAGTGACTATCAGTGCCTGTTTACGACTGCTGGCAGCTAATTTGTATTTGTGGCTATTATATATACGACTAATGACTTCTATTTGTCAGCTGACAATTAATGTTGGTGGCTAATAGTATTTGCTAGTGGCTACTCATAACTATTTGTGGCTACTAATTTGTACTCGTGCCGATTATTATTATTAGTGGCCCACTGATGACTACAAGTACTGAAGGTGATTTTTTTGTGTGCAAATTTGTGGCTAATTGTGACTAGCTGTGGCTACTCGTGGCTACCTGTGGCTACTAGAGGCTACCTGGGGCTTCTAGTGGCTACCTGTGGTACGAGGGACTACCTGTAGCTACTGGCTACCTGTGGCAACATGTGGTACTAGTGACTACCTGTAGCTACTGGCTACCTGTGGCTACTTGTGGCTACCTGTGGCTACTAGCAGCTACCTGGGGCTTCTAGTGGCTACCTGTGGCTATGGCTACCTGTGGCTACTAGTGGCTACCTGTGGTACTAGTGACTACCTGTAGGAACTAGCGGCTACC